TCTTGCTAAGCTTTGGTACATCTCCAGAAAAAGCTACAAGAAATATCCTGGAAGCATGAAGAAATTGTTGTGGTAGTTGTGAGCAAAGGTGAGGCGTACATGGGTAGTGCTGAAGTGGTGTTGAGCTGGTTCATACATCACAGACCTGATCCTGTGATGTATCACTCATTTTTGATCTGCTGATTCCTTGGAATTTTAGTCTCAGTACGCTGCCTGAGATTTATTACTACAAGAGCCTTTTCTTAAACATAGATCTTACGAGAAGCAGCATTGTAACCGCACACCTGTGTACATTCAATACCCGCTCAAAACTTCCAAGAGGATTTCCTGAAATTTAAGACACTTCTGTCAGGTAAATTCTCTGCCTGTTTTGATTTTATTTGCTTTACATTAATTTATATAAGTTACATAATTTACTAACATTTTTTGTTTTATCCTCAAGCATGACCTAGCATATAATTCTCAAAGGAAGGGAGATAAGAAGTGCTATGACAGGGAGAAATCATGCCAGGCCTACACCACAACCTTTTCCTGTTTCCTTTTTCCTTTTCTTGTTCTATCTCTATGACAGACAAGCCAATAAAACTGGAGATCATAGAGCTAAAAGCTTTTGACGTATTAACAGTCTGAATACACAAATATAATTACCTTCCAGCTGCGAGCCTTGAAGGCTCAGTCTTGCACTGGTGGTGTTTCCTCTTCTTCCCCTTGGTCAGAGGACACTTGTGTGGAGCAGCTGACACTCGAAGTTTCCTTGCTCCCACCTTTCATTCTGTTCACAGTTGTCCTGCTTTGGGAAGTTCTCTGAACAAGAAACCACTAATCACAGTTTAACTGTTAAGGCTCACTTTCAAAGCTGAGTGAAAAACTAAGACTGCTTATGGGTAGAATCATCACTTTTAGGTGAAGGAAATGTCTGCTTCAAGGAACAACTGGTAGCGTGGTCTCCATTGCTGACATACACTGATCAACTATCAGATCCGTTATACTTGCACCAAGAAAGTGTGATGTCAGGTTTGCAGATACCTATCCTATAAGGATGTGTGTATGGATATGTGTGAGAATGGGAAAATTCTCTTTTATTCCTCACTGCTGATAGGTAGATTTGTAGGAAAGCTGCAAATTTGACCTTGCAAGATTTTTTTGTTTCTCCTCCCTTCCCTGCTTAGCTCCATCTTTTCTCTAAGCCAGAGCACTCATTACTATTTGTTAATTCTTTCAATTCTTTAAAAGTTCTGTGAGACAGCTTTATATTAACGTATCAGAGCAAAGCCAAATGGCTTTGTATTTATTGCCGTCTAATACTGTGTAGCCTGTGTTATGACAGCTCTGAGCCTTTTTTATTCAACAGATGTTGTTGAGAAGGATGAACAAATAGATTAATGTGTTAACTCACCACAGTTTATTTCAGTAATTAGAAATGAAACATAGCAATAGTCACATCACAGGCATATAACAACATATCAGAAGATGAGTTACGGTATCCCTTACCCCTTCAAATCCACACCAGGACCTGACCCCCAAGTCACGCTGCCTCCTTCCCTGCTCCCAGCTGCAAGAATCCACTTTCCTCCCAGAAAAATGTCACCCAGAGTTTGTACCCAAAGGAAAGAAGCTCCACTTGGCGTTCTTCTCTAAGCAAAGGCAGGAGGGAGGCTGGCTCAGTTTAGAGGCTTTGTTCTGGACAGCACATTTGTAGGGAAGACAGTACAGGAAATCTCCCTCCCAGGCCATGAAGAAACAGTCACGTTATAAAGTCACATCATAAAGTTGGCAGGCATCCTGGAGTTCTTGTAGGCTGACTAGGACAAGGTCCAGAGCCTTCGTCAACTTTCATAACATGACAATATCAAAAATTAAATAACTGTAAGCCCATTCACCAGCGAACTTAGAATGCTGTCCAGTGGAACGAGCCTTGGACTTCACCTGGAGAATAAAAAGTTTGATGGCTCCTACTCAGGTCTGGGCAATGAGCAGCTGCTCACACATTAGGAAATACAGACTGGAGTTTTCCACAAGCATTGCTACTTGACACCTATTGCTAAAATATACAGCCAGCCCAGAAGATTTCCTCTGTCAGGCCAATCTCCCATATCCATCTTTGCAAGCTGTGAAAGCTTTTTACAACATATAGCAAGTCACCATTGTTTGAAGCATATCGCAGGGCTCTTACGCACACCTGCATCACTGCCCAGCTGCTCTTGGGGGATGCAGGGGGTGTAACGAAGTATCCTCAAGCTCACAGAAATGGAAATGCGGTAAATTGGGTTGAGCATTAAAAGATGCTTGCAGGGGAATGTTACAGGATCCTTTACAAGGTAACGTTCGTTTTTAGTGTTTTTTTTGACAGACCCATTATTCTCTTTTTTTTTAGCATTGGTAGTGCACAGCTTATACCATTGTTGTATGACTGCTTCCTAAAACTGTTGTTATATGTGCACACATGCACACACGTCCTCTGTGGGTTTGTTTTTTTGTTGAGACCCACATCAGATAAACAGCATTACAGCAGCCAGTGGTTCCAGGCAGTGTGCTACTTACAGTTTCCTATAGGCAAATGTCAAGTCTGAAAGTCCGTTGTGCATAGTTACAGAGATTTTTCTGCATCAGTAGATAGCCTTCTGTTACTGACTAGTGTTTGTGATGAATGAATTAGCCATCCGTTTTCTGTCACCACTGTAGGAAGAATATGTGATCCTGTGTGAAAGAGGAAATAAGAATAGAAAGCTACTCATATCTAACAGCAAGAAACTGGAGGGGAGTGTTACCACTCGAGTGCCAATAGCAAAGACACCCATCAAACTCCGTCAGTATCATTTCTTCAGAGTTTTCCTAGGCTGGCTGAGGGTGCCAGAAAATTAAGGCATCTTTGCTGAAGATTACAGCTCTGGAGGGATCTACCATGTAGAAGCCAGTTACAAAGAAATCTTATTCCCCGCTTCCTCTCCATGATCTGTCAAAGAAAGTCGGAGAAGCACTTAGCTAGAGACGGCTCTAAATCAGGGAAGAGAGAGAGAGAGACTGCATCCCTTTGTATAGGGGATGGGAGTAACTGCTAGCTTTCTCTGCCTTGGCACAATTAAAAAGTAAAAAAAAAAAAATCCCCAGGGTTGCCAGGGTGGCATGAGCAATCCAGTATCAGGGCATAGCAGGACTGTGGGGACACCAAATATGGTGGTGGTGAGGGTAAGATCCAGAACCATGAATCACTCTGCACAAAATCACAAGCTATTAAAAAAAAAAAAAAGTTTAACTTTCCTTGGTTGGACTTTTCAGAGCTCTCTCTTTGCCAAAAGTTCCCCATTTATGGACCAGTCAGCCATGCAAGAGCTGCCAGATGTACTGAACCGTAGTCCCGGCTTTGTGCACCATCTGCTGTCCCGGAAGGATGCAGAGAACTTCTTCCTCTGTCACCACGGTCTCATCACTGTCTCGAGCTGATGTCCAGTATACCACTGCAAGTTCCCTCTGGGGTAGATCACCCCTGCGTCCCAAGAGGAGATCTCTTCACAACCTAAATCCCATTGCATCCATTCTTGTCTCTTTTGGCCACGATGCTTGCAGCAGTGGCTATACAGATCAATGGCTGCAGCAAGATTACTTTGTCCGTGTCCTTTTCCAGGTAATGTGAAGCTATGATACAACTTTGGATCTAAGACTGATATTTGTATATTTGCAAGCATAGCTGATAGGAACTAACGCCATCTGAGAGATTTTCAGGTCAGCTCCTGAGACACTGATATCCCGTAAAGGTGGTGCTAATACTCATGATTAGTTTCTAAAACTTGCTCAGTTAATATGATCCCAAATTAATTTTTAACATGAGTAGGCAATAGATTTAAAAAAAAAAAAAAAAAAAAAAAAAAAGAGGCAGGTCTTGTACTTAACATAGCAGTTATAGACCCCTCAGTGATCCAAAACCAAAGCCACCTAAGAATATAAGCAGCGGACAATGGTTTGAGTTGCTTCTTCCACAGGATTCATTTCTCCCCTCATCATAATTCTACATGTTATTAGAGATAATTTATTTGTGGTCTATCTCCTGTAAGGTGAGAAAGCAACAAGTAGCACAAACGTAGTATTTGAGGTTACCCAGCTCCACCCAAGTGCTGTGCTCAGGTAAGTCCCAAGGGCTCCAGCAGGAATAAATGAGGAAAGGCCAAACATTGTCCCCGCTGTGCTGGCTTGCCAGTCAGTTGACTGGGTGGTAAATGCTTCTGGAGAATAGATAAGAGTCACATTTCCACTCATATCTTAGGCCCTACACCACCCTAGTTGTGTAAGTTTAGACCTTCCCTCTCAAAGCAGACTATAATGCTCATGAAGGTGGTGAAAAGAGTTTGCAAAGTCACCATGAACACCGGATCTGCTCACCAGAAGATTTTAAAGAGATATAAGCGAAACCCTGGCTGGGCTGCCACCAACTGTACTGCTTGAGGGATGAGGCTAGTGCGTAGTGGGGAGAGCACTGCTAGAAAGGAATATAATCAGGCGTTAAGTTCTAAATAATGCAGCTCCAAGCATCTGAAGTTATTTGCTCCTTTCCTACAAGATTCATGACTGAGGCTCTTGCAGACAGAGTGGTTTGACTCTAAAGCAGATTATTTATTGCTTTGTATGACTTTTTCTGATAAAAAGTTAAAATCATCTATATCAAAAAACTGCGTTCTAAAAATATTCATTGTGAAAAACAACATTCTTCCTCCTTCCCCTATCTCTTATCAACAGACCAAAATCTATCATTTATAAAGTGTCTTCATGAAGCAAATATATGCCATTAATAATCAACAGGAAGACAATAATTTCGTATAGGTAAAGTACTGTACAGTACAACAGATCATGGCAGGGATTTGTTATAGGAGTGTTTAGGATGATAAACCATGTCTCCAAAACCCAGTAAAGTCTCAACAGCAGTCAGTCATCAACCCACCGATCAAGCACCTGTAAGGACAAGTTGGGCTTCTTTTGTACAAAGGAAACTGTTCTTTCTTTATCCTACATTAGTCATTCAGGGAAAAATAATCCTCGTATTTTGTAGTGTAGTTGAACAAGAAAAAATCCATCTGATACAATTTTTTGATCTTCTCAATTTGTTCCGAGTTCAATTGTCTGAGGTACTCCAAGGTGATGTCACCATTAGTTCGTTTCTCTGAGCCATACCTCTTCAAGCTGGGGTAGTGCAGGCTCTCTGGTGCTCCAATGACCTTTAGAACGTGCTCAGAATCTAATGCGAGAGTTTCGTACTTACCCAGAATATCATAGTGAATGTTGCAAGGATCACAGAGCAGAAACATTGGTTTCCAGTGAATGTCAAGACTATTTGGCGGCTTTGCTATAATGAAGTTGACAAACTCCTGGAAACTCACTTTTTCAGAAGAATTCTTGTTTTTTCTGAACATTGCCCTAATCTCATTAGCAATAGTGATGCTGTAGAACGGCTCAGAGTGCAGAAGTTTGTCTCTGTAGGCTGAAACTAGCCTTTCCAAGGGATGTCTGGTGAACATCACTTTGGTGTAATTGCTCAGAAACTCCTTTTGTATGGCAGGAGGGTAAGCCGCCAGCTTTTTGATCAGCGAGGTTTGGTGGATATGGTCATGTTCAATTTCAGATGCTTCCGCATTCAAGTCTGCTTGGAGGAGAAAAATCGTTCTCTTCCAGTTGGAGCAGCCTACCTTGGGCACCTCACAGTAGATAAACTTATGTTTGTGCTCCACAAAGAGCTGGTTTGCAACACGAGAATCCAACTTGCTTCTTAACTTAAGAAGGTTGTTCTTCAGGCAGATAGAAGACAATGTGCTTTTGCGATCATTCTGAATTGTCAGCCAATCTTCAGTGGGATCAGGGAAAGCACCTGTAACCAAGGAAGGAATGTAAGACATTAGTGTGAAATAGATTTAGATAAGTCTCTCTTTGTGTTAATCATAGCACTCAATCTATCTCCTTGCATACAAAAACTAACGAAGATGCTAAAATCAATTCTTTGTCTGCTGTCACCAGACTCCACTATGGCAAATGTAATAAACTATCCTGGTCAGTGTAAAGTTTGTTAAAATCAAAACTTTAAACATGTTAGCAATACTACTTTAAGCAAGATCGATGTTTAAATGTTTCTAATGCCAACTTATTTGTGTAGCGCTCTTGCTCTCACACATTGCTAAGACAGCTACCATGGTGACAGGGCCTTGGACATTTTCATAGTATTGTTAATGTCTTAGGCTCCATAATTACTTTCTAACACATTTGGGAACCACATCTGATTCTAGAAAACATTCAGTAAATTCTTTACTCACCTGTTAGATTTTTTTGTCTCTTACAGAAAAACCCAAAAAGAAATATCCCAAAAACGAAATTTGGGAGAAGGAAAACTAACACCTTCTGGTTCATATTATTTGCACAGGAAGCAGGATGATGTGATGTCTGAAGTGGAAGTCTGCCTTTCTGTCAACAAGGAAACATAATACATGTTAGATTCTGTATGACTGATATAATAAAGATAACATGGTACTCTATTGCAGAGCTTATAATAGCAGAAAGACCTTCCAAGCCCTATAAAAACAGTCTTTGTCAATAAGTAAAAATTTTCCTATGAAGGCGTCACCACAATTATACTTTTAAACCACAGACAAACAATACGACCATTTCAAAGTATTACAAAATTCCCCCCTTTCTCAAAACAGTGAACTGTGTATGAGCAAATACCCCTCCCTTCTCACCTAAAGCTGATGTTCCTGCCAAGCAAACGCTATCTCTTCGCATCATGTAACTATAACCTCACTGAGGATTACAGAGATGTTTGGGTTTTTTTAAAATAACCTTACTTGTTGGAGTCTGGGATTACCAAGTCTTCTGTAACCTGCAACAAGCCTATACGCAAGCCTATGATGGATTCAAGATGAGATTCCTCCCATCTCCTGCCCTGAAGTTTTTCCTAAAGACGCTGCAGCGTAGATGTGTTTGCTGCTGCAGCATAAGAGCCCCCAGAGGTTTCACTGTGGAAGGAATCCTGTAGAAACAGGAGGGGAAACACAGAAAATGAGATGTTCTGTGTTCACAGGTAAAAGGAGAGAAGACCAATGCAGTCCAACAATTGTATTTCCTCTCCTGTGCTCATGTGTTCTGACTCCTCGCGCTTCTTGGCAAGAGAGCTCTCTAGGGCCTCTGTGCAGTCTTACTGTGTTGCCCCCATTAGAAAGACCTTCATCAGCATGCTTTTAACCACTTTTTATTTGAAGCAGCAAAATTGAGTGCAAACCCCTAATGACCGGCAAATGTGACATTCTATTTCTGTCTCGTAAAATTGGTGCCATCGAAAAAGTCAAGCAACGTTGTCGTCCTTTTGTGCCTTTCCATTTTTCACCCTGAAGCTGCTGTTAATAAAAACATTGTTGCCTGGATTTCTTGAGGATGTAACTTCAACTTTTGGGTTGGTTTGGTTTGGTTTTGCAATGGTACAACAGGACCACTCTGTAAGTTATTTGTGGTGCATCCTGCAAACGCCCATGTAGATGCACGTAAACTCCAGCTGCCATAAGGGAAACTGGTTTCCTGAGTGTTCTGAGACAGGACAAGTTAAATTGTTGAAAACGTACCTGCACACAAAGCTTCTTCCTTTCAGGCCTGACAAGTGACTATTATATCACACATCTTTACCAGAATATTTCCAAAGTCACACAGTTAACAGCATTACTAATTATTAAATATCCCTTGGTGTAGGCATGATCCGAGAAATGGAGAGGGATGACTATGCACTATCTCTGACCTGTAAAGATCATTATGAACAAAACTGCAGTCACAGATATTAACAATTTACTTGTTTTTACATTAAACTATTATAATATTTGTTCAGATGAATGCAGTAGTTTTATGCATTATGGCATTTAGCCACCATTTTCGCATTTTCTTGGCTGCATAAAACCATTACCTGGATAAGACCATTATAAAGGCTACAAGAAAATATATGGGTTGGACTTCGCCCTTTAACCTTTTCTTCACTGCACATCAATTCTCCTTTCACTGTGCAACCTGTTGCCTCGCAGTGCATCAAAGGCTGTTTTTGAGGCCAGCTGAACTCAATCAGATTGTTCACTGATCTCATGAGGTCCAAGGTTGAGTGACTCCTTTGCATCTCTTTTTTAGAAGTGGTTTGAAGACACAGTTTCTCACTGTGTAGCAATTAAAATAAATATGACACTAAACAATTCTGTACAGGGACTCTCTGTTAGAGTATGTTTAGGAGAGAGGTTTGGCTTCATTTACCTTAAATGCTGTCCCCTCAGGGTAGTTATTGTTATCATACGTGTGTCAGGAATTAGAAAATTAACTAGATTAATTTAGCCTGTTTAGATACTTGTACCATATATATTTGTTAATTAAATTACTGGTACAGTATCTAAGGCTTGCCGTAAGACACATTTCATGTTTAAACATGTCGATGAGTCACCAGAGGGAAAAGGACGAGACTTGCCTCCTTGAGGGAAAGAAGCTGTTTAGAGCTAGTCAGACACAGGAGACAACTCTCCTTCTAAGACATTTGCACATTCGTGGAAGCAAAAGAATCCTTATTTTAATTCAGGAGAATTAAGGAGGGATAGAACAAACTCCATAAGGAGGGACAAAACTCCAAAGTGACAGGTGAAATTTGTCTGGACCCCTCAGAAAACTTCAAAACACGGACTGGCTGTAGGAGCTAAAACCATCCATCAACAAGTGAGGTGCACATGATGATTCAGAGAAGCTACCTGAAGGTGAAGTCCAAAAGCTTCTTCTGAAGAGGTTTTCTGCTGGGAGACCACAGTATAGAGCCGTATGTGATACAAGGCCTCCAACGATGAAAATCACCTAAGAGCAACCTGAGGAATAGGAGGAAAGAAAATTTTGAGAGCAGTTTTGTCAGAAGAGGAACAAGTCACCTGGAAATGAAAGAGGGGAAAAATTCCAAACAAAAACCACTTTTGTGATACATTCAGTGTCAGCAGATCAAGTAGATCACATGAACATTTTCTTCTATTTCTTCACTTATGTCTTTTCCAGATACTTGCAATTGTGTTGTTTATTCTAGATGTAATGAATTAATACTTGCATTTTACCTCATCCTACCTTGAATTAAGTGTGATTTAAGGTGACTGGGTAACTACAAAGCATTTCTCAGTCAAGGTATGGTGAGTCTATTAAATAATAATAAATAGTCTAGTTCTGCTGTAACCAAAGGCCAGCAGAATGGGTTCCCACAGGCAAGGACAGGAAAGACAGCAGCATAGGACTCAAAACAAAAAGGCAGAAATATCTTCTAGTGAAAAGTAACACAGCAAAGAATCAGAGATCTAAATGTCTATTTGGAACTAATATATACCCAAAGAGAGGAAAAAAATACTAAAAACAGAATATAGGTCATTAATCTGCCTTTTCCTTCTTGCACATAATTTGAGGATGTGTGTGAATTTTTTTGTTTGTTTTTAATGATGCATAAAATATTCTAGATAACAGCCTTACACTGCACTGTTGGTTCTTGCTTGTTCTTCGGATCTCATCATTATGATCAACCATACATAGCTATAGCTTAAGATTTTCAGCTCTGCATGTCTTACTGGATTCTGCAGATTTCATCAGAAATCGTTTCATGACTCTTTCCTGGTCATTACTGACCAGTAAACCAGGCAGTGAGAGGAATGATCCTCACAGAATCCTTTCTTGTAAAACCCTTTCAGAAGGCTTTCTACCAGTTGATGAGATTTTTTCTGAGGTCTTTCAGTTAGCTAGTGTTTAATTCCTTCAGTGTGTGTCCAGCTGATTTGATGGCTTTCTAGCTTCTTTGCTAAAATATCAGGCAAATGTTTTGACAAAGTATCAAGTAGAATGCTTCATACAATTCTAAATCCTCTTTATCAATGTTATTACCTTAACCAAATCAAAACAAAAATGTAAGTGAGTTGGGTGAGATCCATTTCCTATAACACAGTGCAAAATTTCCATGTGAGAGCAACCAGAGCAACTGCTCAAGCCGGAAGTGGTAGCAAAGAGGGAACAGATGATTGAAGAAAGCAGTACCCATCATGTCATGTACACTGAAGATCAGAAAAAGGCCTGAAGCCCTCATAAAATGAGAAATATGTATGGAATTCCATTTTTCTTTGCACTACTGATAGTTCTACTATCTCCCTCTACTAATGCATTTTCAAGAATTTTTCTTCTCAATATATACAAATTTTATAATAAAACCAAAAAACGTTGTGTCACATTGTTCATGTCTTCATTCTCAAGTTTGCTGGCCATAAAATGTTCTTACTATCCTTCTGTTTCCTTCAAAAAATTTACGGAAATTTTCTGCTTCTAATTACTTTCCACATCCCCCTGCTTTGCACATCTCACATATGTCAGGCTAGATGATTTGACCCAGAAGCGGTCTTTATCTCAATGATGAGATTGTACTTTTCCAGGGCTCTCACAAAATTGTCATATGCCTGAGTTATTAGATAATGTTTTCTGTTAACTTGCTTTCTCTTCTGCAGCCATCCCATACATCTGCTAATGGTCTGGATGTTAACCAATCACACCACATGTAGCTACACCACAACCACGGACACTTATCCAACCACCAGTTCTGGTTTTGTAACGCATTCATTTTCCCCTGACTAAATCAAGGTCTGATACAGAATCATAGATTGTGTTGGGCTGGAAGGGACCTTTAAGGTCATCTAGTCCAACCCTCTAGCAGTGAGCAGAGACAATCTCCAGTACTCTTTCAGTTAGGAAATATTTACAGTCCAAATATGTTTTAATGATAAAGTCACATGAGTACATGACCTGGCACATCGCATTCTAGATTGAAGTTCTCCTTCCTGCCATGCAGGTTTAGTCCTAGCACAGGCACCGAAAAAGGAGATTGCCTTGCCTTGAACAGGTGTCACTGGTACATTGTTCTGCCCGTCAACTGCTAAAATCATGACTCATACTATAGCATTCCCTAATCCTTCTCCTGGAACTGCTGAACAATTGCAAGTGAAAAATCGGCAGCTTTTAAAGAAGTATTAAAAAAAAAAACAGTCTGAAAAAACAATATTTTGGAACTTTTACAAACAATTAGAAGTCCTACAGCTGGAAATGCTGAATAATGTTAAGTCTTTATTACCTGCTATCCAAGCACAGAAATACACATACACACACTTGTGCGTGTATATATAAATATGCATATATTTTTGAACTACATGCACGCGTACATATATATATACACACACATACGTGTAGGTCAGAAACACATTAATATCAGTTACACTGGCATATTATTTGCTCCAAGTAAACCAAGTAAGTAGTTTGATAAGGATTTAAAGCCTCCTGGTGATAAACTTACAAAGGTGTGTTTCAAGCTCATTTTTTGCAAAGACAGACTTTGGTTACAGCTGAGCATATGGGGTGATCCTCTGCACCCTACCTGATGATAAGTGGGACTTCCTGGATTAAAAGAATGAAATTACAACAATGCTTATTTGTGTTCCTGATACATTTGAAGTCAGAAATAAAAAAAAGTACCAGTAGGGCAGCTCAGTGGAAGGCAGGGAATATCTCTGGAAACTGATAACATTCTCAGCCACCGAGCCCCATTCTGTACTTAAACCCTGTTAATCCCTTCGAAAAGATAACTGCAGATACATACATACTGATATGTACATGGGTACATAAAAGGTGAGGAGGGGATGACGTGTAGAAACACCCCAGGAACAGCCAGAATAAAAAAAAAAAAAAAACCAAGAGGAAAAACAAGCTTTGCTGGGCACAGCTGTGAGTGTGCTGTTCTGACAGGGTGAATTGCACCTTTAGAACCAAGACCCTTGGTCACCCAGACCAGCAGCCTCCATGTTCCTGTAAAACTTGCTGTAGATGGGAGGGAGACCCCAGAAACTGGGGTCTCAGCAGGCAGGCTGGCTGCTGCTCCATAAAGTGGAAAATAATTCATGAATTAGGAACCTCCATCAGGTTCCAAACAGCCAAGGGCTAGAAGAACTATCTGACCTGGGTCATTTCACCAACAAGAGCCATGGTCTGACATCGTCTCACTTGCCGTAGCAAGGCGCTGTGTGAGAACGGGTGCAAGCTCAGTAAACAGACAACAGAGGCTGGCAGGGGTGTCCTACAGAACAGCACATTTCACAGCAGTGAGGAGGGTACACAGTCACCATTTCCAACAGGGGCACAAGCTAAAACTCTTGTTCCCTGCAGTGGTCATCTCAGCCCTCCATTACTGCATCGCATTTCTTTCTGCTCTCAGGAGCTGCAGTGCTACCTTCCTCATTATCATCATTTAACTGCTCGTTATTCTCACTACACCACCTCCTTATGCTTGCCTTTTAGCTTCTCCTTCTGTATCTGATCCCCATGTCATCTCCATGTCTCGCCTTCCAAGGTTTTTGTTTATCCATCATTTCTCATGCGGTTTTAAAAGCTAAATTTTGTAAGTTTACTGCTTATCAACCTTGATCAATCATATTGCTAGCCCCTGCTAGCAACAAAGAAATGCCTTCTGCTTTCTCCTCTGCTGCCCTTTTTTGGAAAAAGTTTCTGAAGCACCTATAGAGCTATTACATTTTTTCACCTAAAATCACTCCTTAAAATCCTCCTTTTCAGGGATGCCAACACCAGTTAGGTTGCCAGCGTGCTAAAACTGCTACCAACCAGCCCACAAAAGAGCAAGCTCAAGGAAGAGCCAACTTGGGGATGAAAAGAACCAAAGTGAAGAGGAAAAAGAGAGTACATGGGAAAAGGCAGCAGAGTCTGACAGAAAAAATCCCAGAGAGACAGGGAGCAGCAACCTAAGGAAAAGTGGTGGAGCTGGGGCCATGGGAAATTGAAAGTCTGTGTAGCCTGCTCAGATGGTGCTGTGGGAAAGGGAAGTTGAGAATGGGAGTGGAAAAGACACAGAGTGTGATTCAGTGAAGTAAAGATGGAGATGAACAAAATCAAGGAAATGAGTATAGAAAAGAATATGCAAAACTATCTGACAAACTACCACAGACATTTAAAAATGAATGAGATTAAATGCACTGCAGTCACTCACGCAGTAGAACCCAGTCGTTACTACATGGTCAAACTTGTCTGTTTCCCTCCCTGTAATTGTAGCCAGAAAGGTCATGGGCTTCTGATTTTGTAAGTATGGCCACTTGCCACTGATGTTGTCAGGGAGCAGTGAGGGACAGCTCTTCCCTTCAGGATGGGGACCTGGGAGCCAAGTACAATAACCGCATGGCCAGTGTGGCACAGGCCTCACCGGCATGGATCCATCACCAGCCTTGATGTGTGAAGACCTGGAGGTGGTGGCCACGTTCAGCCAAAAGATCAGACCATCAGGCGAAGGAGCCACAGTGACATGAGCTCATAGGTGGACCCAGAGGGGCTGGGCCATGGGGAGTTTGAGGCCAGTCCTGCTGCTGCATCGCTGGGCCAGGCACTGATGGCCCTGGGCACCTGACAAGGGGTCCTGGGCTGTGGGAAGGTGGGGAAAGCCCCAGGGGGCTGGTCAAGGACAGTCGGTGCCCTGTCAGTGCTTTTGGAGCCTGACAGATAACATGAGAAGAAAGTCCACCTCTTCTGCTCAGTTACCTAGTGATGGGCTGTGGGGCCTTCTTATCTAAACACTTAATTCAAAATCCCATACATGCATCAACTGCCATATACATCACTGCAAGACCAATCATAGGAGAGTAACCCTCACCACTTTCCTTCAGGGAATCTAGATGAGGCTAAGGAACTTGGAAAGGAGAAAGAAAGCGAGAAAATCAAGTATAGAAGAGCCCACATTAGATCCCCTCTGTCCCTTCCTGCTTTTCACCTCCCTGTGCAAGCTGCATTCATTGATGCCTGCCGTTGCACACCAGAGAGCGTAGCCAGAACTGCCTGTAACAGCCCTGGTTACTTAGCACACAGCCCCCAGACAACCTCCTGGCTGCTGTTCACCTTGTTACATCCTTCTTGTATTCCCTTCACTAGTACCCCTCTGCCATAACTGATGACAGCCATGATCTCTCTTTCTCTTTTTATACTCCTGTGCATACAAAATGTCTCAGGTTAAATTATTTTACTTTTTGCTTTCACCTCCTCCACCTTCCTCTATCATTCTAGTCCAGCTTTTGCCACCTCCTTTTCAGGATCAAACACCATTTTGTCCAAATCCATACCTCTAACTTCATTCCCCGCAACTCTTATTTTTTATACTCCTCCAAAGACTCCTGTAAAGAAATCATCTACAAGTCCTTACACTGGTGTTGGTGCACAAGCCTACTCATTTACAGAAATAACCTCTTTTCCTGAAACTTATTGATAAATTGTGCGTATGCATTCTTTTGTTTCCTACATGAATCTAGGCCTATTTTTCTTTCCTTTTCTGGTCTCTTCGCTATTGCAGGATAAGCCATTCAGCAGAAATTCTATGTTTAAGGTCTGTTTTTATGAAACATATTTTTACATCATACTACAGCACATACAGTACCGAGTATTAAGAAGTTAGGAAATAATAAGATTAAAGTGGCTTATGAGTCAAATCATAGAGAACATAAGATGAAATATCTGCTAGCGTTTGGCAGCACAGTGTTGAAATTAAAGAGCTGACATCTCAGAGTATTTAACGTACACATCAAGTTCAAAATTGTCTTGCTGATTCAGTTACAGATATGAATGCTCAAAAGATCTGCAAGTCTGGTTTCCAGAGCCTATTAATGTACCCCCAAAATGGACAGTCAATAAAAGTCTCTGAAAAGGTGGGTGCCCCACACCACGTTGGGCTATTGTGCAGACAAAGAACCCAGACTTTCATCATAAACCTCTTGCCTGTTCACTGCACACCTTCCCTCACCTGCTGTAGTTAGTGGGGATCCTACTCCACAGCCTTTGAGAATATCAAAAGCATGTGCATCCTGTGAACTGAGTGCATCAAGTCGTGTGGAATATTTTGTTTCTTTAAAAACTAAGTGTTGAAAAACTACCGGAAAATGTATTTATGTGGCATCATAAAATATGCACAAAAATCATTGTCGATGGTGATTTATTTAGCTCCCTTGACCAATCATAGAATCATAGATGGGTTGGAAGGGGTATTTAAAGGTCATCTATTCCAAGCCCCTGCAGTGAGCAGGGACTTCTTTAATTACATCAGGTTACTCAGAGTCCCATCAAGCCTGACTATAAAAGCCTCCAGGGATGGAGCTTCCACCATCCCTACTCACTTGAATAGAATAACTGATAGTGGCAGCAGGCTGCTATCTTCTGAACAAACCCAACATCAACAATGACAAGACCCAAGCTCATCAGAATTACTTGTTGATAGCAACAAAATGGTGAGACTCAGGCACGTGGGATGCCATTCCTGGTACCAGAGGAGAATGGTCCTTAGCCCAGCTTGTCCCTGCTTCCCCTGCTCCTACCATCACTCAGCACAGCCTGTGCAGTCTTGCACTCCCGCTAACTCCAGTATCACCTCCTTGCACCCAACTCCCAACACTGAGCTCCCCTCCTGATAGACATACTTTTGCATGGGCACCGGTGCTTTTCCCTCTGTCCCCGCTCCAGGTGGGACCCCTTCTTCCTCAGTCCCTGCTTCCACTCCTCAGGCAAAAATTTAACTTAGCCTCCATCAAATCCTCACCTCACCTCCAAAAGCCATCCTCGTATCGTTCCCAGTCGCTTCGCCCAGCAACTCCCGTTCTCCAGCTTCCCAAATGCTCATCGCATCTCACCCAGATTCTGCCGTTCAGTCTTCCCCAGGCACAAGCCAGCTCTTTGCTGGCTCCCGCTGCCAGACTCCTCCCTTAGTCTCCTCAGTCAGCCTCGCAGCCCTCCGCACCAACCACGCTTCCGAGCCCAGCTCATCAGATCTGTCTCTCCTTCTTCTTCCAAGCCTCCCACGCAGCCCCACTGCTTCTTGTTCTCAGCTCTGTGCTCAGCTAGTCGCAGGCTCTGCGCTTCAGCTCCTCCAGCTATTTTAGTTATCTCCCAAACTATACTGACACATTTTCCTTTCCTTTCCCTCCCACATCAATTTTCACACTACTCATCAAGGCACAGTTT